TACATTGATAGCTTCCGATAAGTTTAGAACTTCGACCATGAAATATCTATCAACACCACAAACATACTAACGTTCCCATTTTTATTCACTGCCACTCTAGCATAAGTTCTCAGAAGAATCCATCGAAGTAATCCACTTTTCGAGAGGTTATGACCATTTATATGAGATGGAAAAATTGTTGTGTTTGAGAAACTCTGCTCACTCTGGTTGAATTTCGTTAATGTATTTGTAGTACCACCTACAGTTGATGGAATATGATACCAAGAAAGAAAAGAAAGCTTAAACACATAAATAATTAGTTCATTTGATTCATATGGCATGCAACACAAGGACAAAAATGAAGTTTGCATTAGCATTTGGTAACTCGAGAACTTTACTAAAAAGTAATTGCATCAATCCATGGAAGAATCCAAAAACCAAGAATGTGTCAAAAGAAAAACAATAGTTGGAAAAACTTATCATACCAAAGCTATATCACTGAAGAGTTATGAACAAAGCCACAGTCCATTTGAATTTTTTCCTGGAATCAATGAAAGCCAATTAAAAAAAATACACCAAGAGAAGGAATCATACACTAGAAACCACCAGAAAGCAATCATCATCACATAGAGATAGATATATACTCATGGTCAGTATATCCAAATTTATGATGTATGCGAAAGTGGCTTCCAAAATGTTTAAAAGTATGTCTCCAGAAAATAACCGAATAGTGTAAAGAAAAACAAACTTTTACAAAGAAGGTCAAACCTCAGAATCCATAAAGTAACCTAGAAATCTTGAATCTAGTAACCATACTCGATGAAACAGTATCAAATCTTCACATTCCACTCATATAAAACCAGACACATTCCAAACCTGATTTCAATGTACTCACATATTTTGCTAGGAGAATTCAAACCTGCTTTTGCATACTCAGTAGTGTTTAACTTTGATAGTTGGAGAGTATAGAAACCTTAAGATTTAGAAAGGAAAATTAAATGCGTACCCTTGGCAGGAGTCAAATTTGCCACGCGGTTTATGATTGGAGCTCTTGTTTCTACAATTAAAGTGTGATGTTGAGAAAAGTTCCACAAGAGCTAGCTAGAGTTGTAGTCCGTGACGATCTCATGTCTCTTAAGGCATAGATGAGGTCGTTGTCGTTTTTAGTGACCTGAAAAGCTCTAAAGAGTAAAAACGCAGTTCCAGAGTAAAGAGTGAAGTCCTGAACACTGAAAGACAAAATGCATTTCCAACAACACACTTGGTGAGCCATTTCAGAGCAACCCAATGGAATCTAAATATTCAGACAGAAAAAAAGGAACAACTTTTCGCAAATGAAGCGCTTACGATTTCTTTAAGATCCAAAGCAGAGCGTTTGAGCTGCTGCGAGAGAGACGACGAATAGGGCATAGCAAGAAGATTCATGAGAGAATCTCCTTCACCAGCTTCACTTTCCTTCTCCCTCAGGGAATCAGAACCGATCCGCCATTGTTGTCTGTCTCCTTTGGAAGTGTTTTGCTCAAAAATCAAATCAAAATCAAAATCGCCGTTCTAGAAGGGACGAAGAAAACGGCATCGTTTTGGGACCGATCGGTTCGGTGAGTTGGTTACACGTTTTGGTCAACGTGTCCTATTTTAATGAGCAAAAAAAGAAAAATCAGATCTACGCCAAACTCTTGGCAACGACGACGTTTAAGGCTCTGAAACCAAATCAAAGCAGCGATCGGATCATCAAGCACAAGTCAAATTTGACGAGAGAATCTGTGTGTGTGATCGATCTCAAAGCTCTCTCCTCTTACCATGGCTACTTTCGACGACGGAGATTTTCCTGCTCAAACCCATTCTCCGTCCGAGCACGACGAGTCGTTTATGAGCTACGAAAATTTCTCCGATGCACCTCCACCTCCGGCTCAGCCTCCATCCGGTGGCTTCTCCTCTTTCAATGGGGACGGAGGTTATGGATCTGAGAATCCTGCCTCCCCAAACGGATATGGATTTGGTGCTTCTTCTCCTAACCATGATTTCTCCTCGCCTTTCGAGTCTTCCGTGAACGATGCCAACGGAAACGGCGACGCGATCTTCGCTTCCGACGGGCCTATTCTTCCAGATCCAAATGAGATGCGGGAGGAGGGTTTTCAACGCCGTGAGTGGCGCCGGTTAGTGTTCTATTCTCCACCTTCATTTCCTGTTTTGGAAATAGGGCTTAGATCTCCGATGGTAGAGAACTGGATCTTATTAGTGTCTTCTTATGTAGGAAAGTTCTGGTTTTTAGCTTCGATTTCATTATGCCCTCGATATAGTATTAGAATGGAGACGTATACTCATTATCTTCCTTCCAAATTTGGGAGAGAGTTACTGAAATTGACCTCTAACTAATGAAGAATTGAATTGGATCAGAATTCAATTCGCATGGCTCTTTGATCTGATTTGGAATAAGAAAGAACCCGAGTAGCATATGTGTTGTATGTAGCTATCATCTTCTGAATCGCATAGTCCTAGAACCATCACCATGCTTTTCTTGTTCAACATACATGAAAGTAATTTTATGCACCCATTGGTCCAGTCAAAACGCCATCCACCTTG